CAACTTAGGGACAGTCAAATTACAACTAGGGACCGTCAACAAATTACCAAACAAACTGACATAAAAAAGCCTATATGCCATGAATTTCTGACCAAAAAATATGTCATTAGACTTGACAAATAATCACACCCATTTTATCTGGTTTAACTGTCTAATTTTTATATAGATTTTTAGTGAAACAATACATTTATTTTCAATAGCTTCCCTGTTATCCCATTGTGCAAGGAGACATCTAAACAAATTTTAAGTTATTATAGTTATTTCAAATAATAATAATAGTTTTAAGTCCTGTCATCATTGTATGTTCACATACATTGGCAAATCCATCCACCCCCAATGTTGTTGTTGCAATGACGGGGGATTGATCCTGGGACATTCCGGTTTGGGGTCGGCTGCTCTGCCCCTACCCTCATCTCTGTATGACAAAGGCATCTAGGGAAACAGTGTATTTGACCATCCATTGTGCAACAGGAAACTGGTTCTCCACCCACTAGAAACAGTTGGATTAAGCTTTACAAATAAATCATCACTCTTTAAATTTTTCCTTTATTCTCTTTATTGGATTAACAAGTAGCTCTGAGAGAAATTAATGCAGAAAATAGCAACAGTTGGTTTATGAACGAAGCCGTGCTAATTTATAATCATAAAAGAGTATGACCCATCAACACAGAATAAGTGCTAAATTGTTTTATGACATTGGACAGAAGAGACACTCATTTTTATGATCCCATTTTAATCAAACTCTTGTAGAGATCAAACCTGAGATAGGGAGCACAAGCCAGGGTATCTCATGTGACAGTCCCAAGCCTGGATTAATGCTGAGGGTTGGGTCAGGAAGGACATCTGACAAAAAACACTTTGGTCGAGGCCTGGGTTAACAACGACTGCCACCGGTCCTTTGGACAAACAGGGTGCAGGCAAAGGTAGGTAGCTGGCTGACATGATGCAGAGAAGGAAGGTAGATGTTTTATGTGTCCAAGAGACCAAGTGGACAGAGGTAAAGTTAGAGAAGCTAGACTGAGATGGTTTGGACCTGTCAGTGGGTATGTTGGTAGAAAGATGTGAGACATGCAGCTACCTGGAAAAAGACAAAAAGGAGAGACATGGATGCAGTTAGAGAGGACATTGAGGTAGTTGGAGTGAGGACATGGTGAGATGGAGGAGGATTTCTTGATGTGGAGAGACCCCTGAAGACAGAACAGCTGAAAAGTTGTTAATAGTCTGTCAGAGTCAGAGAGATTTATTTGTCACTCGCATCTCATGTGGTACATGTGGTGGAACGAGATTATGTACACAAGGTCCCAGTTACATCCAACAATAAAATGTAAAAGAAAAACAGTAATAAGATCTAAGTGTAGTATGACATATCCTGAGATATATTCATCAATTAAACGGGTTCTTTCATTTTTCTGGACTGCATAACATACGTGCATTGAATTTAATAAAATGTGGACGTGAGACGTTAATTATCTTTGACTCACCAAACGAGTGGGTCATTTATTAACAGAATCAAGTTTAACACATCACACATTTACATT